AATTTTTCATGACATAGGGATTTCTATGCTGGCATATGATAGGAAATAAAAAGACTCTTGTTGGTATTTAAAAAAAATACCAACAAAAAAATACCTCTAAAAAACTCTTGTTGGTATTTTGGTTCCCCTGAATCAGTACAGAGATTGTGGGTCTATTGTTTGTTTGTTTGCTTATTTAGGAATCTCCCATTAGTGATAATATTTACATCACTATTCTTCCTGGAGTCCTTTACATAAAATATAACTATTATTTACATACAAGTATAACTGCTATCAAGGACATTATACTACAGGAAAACTTATCAACAAAGTAAATTATACATTAAGCATCAATTATTACATCAATTAATAATATTACATTATGCAGTTATCAATTAATATTATCATATAGCCAGGTGACGTTGACCAATCAGAAGGCTCCATTCCACATTCCTTATGACGCCGTAATGTCACAAATAGAGTCAAAATCGGGTATTTATTCATCCCAATCCATACATTAAACAACCCAAATAATCACCCGCAGAACAGGGCTTTAGTTCTAAAAAATCCAAAAATAACTTGAGTTGTGTTCCAATGACCTCGGCTGACTCCCATAAGAACACCTGTTCCCTGCCTGTGACCCAGATAGAAGACATAGAACGTGAACTCTACCCAATGACCTCAGGTGACTCCAGAGGGAACTATGTTCTATGTTCTATTCAGCATGTGCATTGTATCATTTACTGCATCAGTTTGGATAGACTATCGTGAAGCTATATGATAATAGTGTTAATGTCCCGCCCTTTCTCGGTGAATATGGTGTGATAAAGCCTTGTCAGTTGCTATAACCACCTCATAAAGCCACCTCGTTCGCTGCGCTCACTTGGTGGCTTTATTCTGTGGTTATAGCAACTGACAAGGCTTTATCACACCATATTCACCTCGGGGCGGGACATTAACCCTTAATTCATGCCCTATCGGGCTAAGTACAGGGCAACAGATGAAATAGGTAATATACATGTTTGTTGTACAAACAGCTCTAAATCTACTCTAATACAGAGGTTCGGCTTCTTCTCGTTTCTTTGTGATGTTAAAAAATATGATTTGAAATGGGTTTGTATAAGTGTGTTTTTTACGTGTTATTAGAACGTTTTATTGCAAATTCATGCCCGAGAGCTAATTGCATGAACAGAAGAAACATTTGTTTAAAAACAGGTTATTAGTACACATAGAACTACTGATAACTATTAAGAAACTACTAGTAGAAAACTACTGGGTTTGACTTCTTTTTTTATATTTACAGAATGCGGTGCCGACAGTCACTGGGAGGACTGCGGCACGGCCTGTCCTGAGACCTGTGAGAAGACCGACCCGGACCAGGTCTGCATACAGGTGTGTGTGGCGGGGTGCTTCTGTGACACCGGCTACGTGCTGCACGACGGCGAATGTGTCTGCAAGAACAAATGTCCCGGTGAGCGTATGGTCTGAATTCAGAGCCTGTATTTTTCAAGTATTTAACAAGAATAGACCCCACACAATAGTGACGTCGTGTGGCGTAGCGGCAGAGTGCGCGACTCGAAACCTAGAGGTCCCGGGTTCGAGTCCTGACATGCCACTGATCTTGTGCCCTCGGGAAAGGCACTTTACACGACTTTCCTCACTTCGCTCAGGTGGAAATGAGTATTGTATATGTACTGTCATGTATTTGTCTCCTGTTGGTGGCGGCATCAATATAAGTTGATAAGAATAAATGTGCCGTCACCACGTCTGGTGATTACATTTTGGAATAAAAAAAAAGAATAGACGTTGGGGCTGTACGGTACGGTAGAGTACGTCGAATAATCAGGCATTTTTTCAAGTTGTGCTTCTGTGACACCGGGTACGTGCTGCACGGCGGCGCCTGTGTCCACAAGAACAACTTGAGGTCCCGGTGAGCAGGATGTGTGGTTTGTTTGTTTGCTTGCGTGGCATCCTGTCTGTCTGTGTACATGTGTCTCGTACTTTCTACCACATACTCCGTCACTGAATCCGGTAGTGTTTTATTAGTTTGCTTGTTTCTTTGCTTTACATATCGCAAATCAGTCTTTTTGTCTGCGACACTGAAACGGACACCGACTCAGGCCAGGGGTAGAGTGTGTTTGCTTATTTGTTTGTGTGGCATCCTGTCTGTCTGCGAGTTTTGTACTTTCTACATAACAGTCACTGACATCGGCCACAAGTGATGTTTTGCTTCTTTGTTCCTTTCTTTGCTTTACTTTGGGCAAAACGGTCTTCCTGTCTGCGAAGCTGGAA